TTATTTTCTGGGGGTTCATTCACGCGTCCTCTCTCGTCGGCAGAACTTCAACTGTCTTTCACTTTTCGTTTACCAACTTCTCCCGTTTTTCTCTTCTCTCACGGGTCCTCCGACCTTTTTCTCCCCATCGGGAACTCTCTGGGGTTTCCCCGGGAATTCACAACATTACAGACTAGTACAGTCTATGAGTCTATCACTGCTACTGTGTCTGTATGACTAGTACAGTCTATGAGTCTATCACAGCTACTGTGTCTGTATGACTAGTACAGTCTGTGAGTCTATCACAGCTACTGTGTCTGTATGACTAGTACAGTCTGTGAGTCTATCACTGCTATTGTGTCTGTATGACTAGTACAGTCTGTGAGTCTATCACTGCTATTGTGTCTGTATGACTAGTACAGTCTATGAGTCTATCACAGCAACTGTGTCTGTATGACTAGTACAGTCTATGAGTCTATCACTGCTACTGTGACTGTATGACTAGTACAGTCTATGAGTCTATCACAGCTACTGTGTCTGTATGACTAGTACAGTCTATGAGTCTATCACTGCTACTGTGTCTGTATGACTAGTACAGTCTGTGAGTCTATCACTGCTACTGTGTCTGTATGACTAGTACAGTCTGTGAGTCTATCACTGCTACTGTGTCTGTATGACTAGTACAGTCTGTGAGTCTATCACTGCTACTGTGTCTGTATGACTAGTACAGTCTATGAGTCTATCACTGCTATTGTGTCTGTATGACTAGTACAGTCTGTGAGTCTATCACTGCTACTGTGTCTGTATGACTAGTACAGTCTGTGAGTCTATCACTGCTACTGTGTCTGTATGACTAGTACAGTCTATGAGTCTATCACTGCTATTGTGTCTGTATGACTAGTACAGTCTGTGAGTCTATCACTGTTATTGTGATTGTATGACTAGTACAGTCTGTGAGTCTATCACAGCTACTGTGTCTGTATGACTAGTACAGTCTATGAGTCTATCACTGCTATTGTGTCTGTATGACTAGTACAGTCTATGAGTCTATCACTGCTACTGTGTCTGTATGACTAGTACAGTCTATGAGTCTATCACAGCTACTGTGTCTGTATGACTAGTACAGTCTATGAGTCTATCACTGCTACAGTGACTGTATGACTAGTACAGTCTATGAGTTTATCACAGCTACTGTGTCTGTATGACTAGTACAGTCTATGAGTCTATCACAGCTACTGTGTCTGTATGACTAGTACAGTCTATGAGTCTATCACAGCTACTGTGTCTGTATGACTAGTACAGTCTATGAGTCTATCACTGCTATTGTCTCTGTGTGACTAGTAAAGTCTATGAGTCTATCACTGCTACTGTGTCTGTATGACTAGTACAGTCTATGAGTCTATAACTGCTACTGTGTCTGTATGACTAGTACAGTCTGTGAGTCTATCACAGCTACTGTGTCTGTATGACTAGTACAGTCTGTGAGTCTATCACAGCTATTGTGTCTGTATGACTAGTACAGTCTATGAGTCTATCACTGCTACTGTGTCTGTATGACTAGTACAGTCTGTGAGTCTATCACAGCTACTGTGTCTGTATGACTAGTACAGTCTATGAGTCTATCACTGCTACTGTGTCTGTATGACTAGTACAGTCTATGAGTCTATCACTGCTACTGTGTCTGTATGACTAGTACAGTCTATGAGTCTATCACAGCTACTGTGTCTGTATGACTAGTACAGTCTATGAGTCTATCACTGCTATTGTCTCTGTATGACTAGTACAGTCTATGAGTCTTTCACAGCTACTGTGTCTGTATGACTAGTACAGTCTATGAGTCTATCACTGCTATTGTGTCTGTATGACTAGTCCAGTCTGTGAGTCTATCACTGTTATTGTGTCTGTATGACTAGTACAGTCTATGAGTCTATCACTGTTTTTGTGACTGTATGACTAGTACAGTCTATGAGTCTATCACTGCTACTGTGTCTGTATGACTAGTACAGTCTGTGAGTCTATCACTGCTATTGTGTCTGTATGACTAGTACAGTCTATGAGTCTATCACTGCTACTGTGTCTGTATGACTAGTACAGTCTATGAGTCTATCACTGTTATTGTGTCTGTATGACTAGTACAGTCTATGAGTCTTTCACAGCTACTGTGTCTGTATGACTAGTACAGTCTATGAGTCTATCACTGTTATTGTGTCTGTATGACTAGTACAGTCTATGAGTCTATCACTGCTACTTTGTATGATTAGTAAAGTATATGAGTCTATCACTGCTATTGTCTCTGTATGACTAGTAAAGTCTATGAGTCTATCACTGCTATTGTGTCTGTATGACTAGTACAGTCTATGAGTCTATCACTGTCATTGTGTCTGTATGACTAGTACAGTCTATGAGTCTTTCACAGCTACTGTGTCTGTATGACTAGTACAGTCTATGAGTCTATCACTGCTATTGAGTCTGTATGACTAGTACAGTCTGTGAGTCTATCACTACTACTGTGTCTGTATGACTAGTACAGTCTATGAGTCTTTCACAGCTACTGTGTCTGTATGACTAGTACTGTCTATGAGTCTTTCACAGCTACTGTGTATGTATGACTAGTACAGTCTATGAGTCTTTCACAGCTACTGTGTCTGTATGACTAGTACAGTCTATGAGTCTATCACAGCTACTGTGTCTGTATGACTAGTACAGTCTGTGAGTCTATCACTACTACTGTGTCTGTATGACTAGTACAGTCTATGAGTCTTTCACAGCTACTGTGTCTGTATGACTAGTACAGTCTATGAGTCTATCACTGCTACTGTGTCTGTATGACTAGTACAGTCTATGAGTCTATCACTGCTACTGTGTCTGTATGACTAGTACAGTCTGTGAGTCTATCACAGCTACTGTGTCTGTATGACTAGTACAGTCTATAAGTCTTTCACAGCTACTGTGTCTGTATGACTAGTACAGTCTATGAGTCTTTCACAGCTACTGTGTCTGTATGACTAGTACAGTCTATGAGTCTATCACTGCTATTGTGTCTGTATGACTAGTACAGTCTATGAGTCTATCACTACTACTGTGTCTGTATGACTAGTACAGTCTATGAGTCTTTCACAGCTACTGTGTCTGTATGACTAGTACAGTCTATGAGTCTATCACTGCTACTGTGTTTGTATGACTAGTACAGTCTATGAGTCTATCACTACTACTGTGTCTGTATGACTAGTACAGTCTATGAGTCTATCACTGCTATTGTGTCTGTATGACTAGTACAGTCTATGAGTCTATCACTGTCATTGTGTCTGTATGACACACTGTATAACACACTCAAGCACACAGAAACATGCAGGCACACACGTAGACAAACACACAGACAGGTAGGTATACGTAGACACACTCAAGCGCACATACACACAAAAACACATGCAGGCACACACATAGACAATCACACAGACAGGTAGGTACACGTAGACACACTCAAGCACACATACTCATACACACAGAAACACATGCAGGCACACACATAGACAAATACATAGACAAACACATAGACAGATAGGTACACGTAGACACACTCAAGCACACACACACAGACTCATACACACAGAAACACATGCAGGCACACACGTAGACACACTCAAGCACGCATACACAGACTCATACACACAGAAACACATGCAGGCACACACATAGATAAACACACAGACAGGTAGGTACACGTAGACACACTCAAGCACACATACACATACTCATACACACAGAAACACATGCAGGCACACACATAGACAAATACATAGACAAACACATAGACAGATAGGTACACGTAGACACACTCAAGCACACACACACAGACTCATACACACAGAAACACATGCAGGCACACACGTAGACACACTCAAGCACGCATACACAGACTCATACACACAGAAACACATGCAGGCACACACATAGACAAACACACAGACAGGTAGGTACACGTAGACACACTCAAGCACACTGTCACAACCCTATCAAGTACAGTCAGTGTACCACACCGTAAGGTGGGGGTGTTGACGTGACACCCCAGGGTTGACACAAAGGTCAGGGCCATAACTGGTCAAGTCCGTTCTGTGATCACACGGCGAAACCAGCGCTCAGGATAAAGCAAGAAAGACTGAACTGTGTTGTAGTAACACGATGACTGCTTCTGGGACTGAGCTGGGGAACGGGGTCAAGAGACACGAGGTAGAAGAAAGAAGGGACATTCGGTGTGCGTCGGTCAGGAAGAGAGGACGTTTAGCAAGACAGTTATGTTATAGTATTAGAGTTAGGATATATTTCTGTTAGTGACTGGATAGTTTATGTACAGTTTTGTGTTAGGATAGGATAGTTCTTGTGTAGAGTATTTATGTATATGTGCTGTGAGAGAGTGGCTAACCTTGACACTCTGACCCTGCACTAAGACAGAGACTGTGACAGTTTGGTTGGGTCAGCGTGGCGATAGAAGAGAGCGTATCCTGCCGGGTTGTGGTTTGTACACCAGAAGATTGCCTGTCGCACGTACTGGGGACGGGGTGATTGTAAAGCCCGTTCAGCCAGAGGGTCCAGGCAATAGGTGGCCACACGGCGGGAAGTCAACTGTCTATGTATTACCTGTACTTCCAATAAAGATTGTCGTGTGTGCTCTGTGTGCGTTCGGGTTCAGTGTGTGTTGAAGGTTAGTCTGTCTGTCATAGGCCTAGTTAGCGAGCCACGGACCGGCAAGGTCATACCAGAGGTTTGTGACACACACATACACAGACTCATACACACAGAAAAGAGACTATCTATCTTATTATGTGTCCAGGTCTGCTGGCCAAGAATGCTGTGGAAGCTGGCCTGTCTGTACAACCTTACATCAAGACATCCTTGTCACCAGGCAGCGGAGTGGTCACCTATTACCTCCGTGAGAGTGGGGTCACTCCCTTTCTGGAAAAACTGGGGTAATTCTTTTTGTTGGCGTTGTGATTGTTCAGGGTTTATTATGTAACATCCTCTTTACCTTCCTGATGGTGTACACCCCCCCCCCTCCCCCATTGAAACATAGATCTTTAGCCAGCTCCATACCCCCCCCCCCCCCCTAATTTAAACATAGGCCTTTAGCCAGCTCCATAACACCCCCCCCCTCCCCAGTTAAACATAGGTTATCAGCCAGCTCCATAACTCTCCCCCCCCCCCCCCCCCATTGAAACATAGGTCTTCAGCCAGCTGTATAACACCCCCCACCCGGCACGCATCAGGACTGTGCGTTTCTGACTGCCTTCATTTTGATGTAAGTGCATAGTCAAAGTCATCGGACCACTCCGGGCGCATCGTAATGGTCAACGAAGCCACAATGCTATGTCTAGCGTTAAGTACAAACGTTGATGCGAGAATGATGCCTATGATGCCAAAGTCCTATTTACAGGCGCACACACATGTCAGGGTGGACACTTTGGCCCCATATGCCAGTACGTCGATCTAGATAACCAGAATAAATACAAATTAGGTGCTGAAGTCGGAGAACGAACGAACGAACAAACTTTATTTTCAAAGGGTCACAAATTGGGCACGCAGGCCCGTCTTACATTCGGCCCTTCCAGTCAACCATCTTTCGCACAGCAGTTGTATTTTACTAATAAAGCATGTTATGATCATATGATGATATGCATATTATGAATATTATAAAAGAACACAAAAGCAGGCACACATGTGCCTGTGCATACATACACCCACATACACGCGCTCACCCACTCACTTACACACACAAACATGCATGCATACATTACATACATACATACACAGAGACATACAAACAAACATACATACGCACAGGCATACGTACACACAAACATACATACATAGATACAAACATACATTCATACGTAATACAGGCATACACGCAGGACAAAGTCGACTTCGCAGCCACATGTACACAAAGTTTAAAATTGAATCAGCCGAGTGCACATGTGGTTGGCACCTGAGACAACAGATCATGACACAGTGCAGATCAAGGCAAAACTTTTAGCCAGGAGAAACATTGGTGCAAATAAAACTTTACTGATCGCTGAGTGAATGACAAAAGACAATGAAGTTCATACTGGAGACAACATTGCAGACATAGATAATCTATTTCAAGCGAATGAAAGAAGAAGGAGAAGAAAAAGAATTATACCAAAATGTATACACATTAATAGCCTTCATAGTTCATTCTTTGCTGGCTTTACTGTACCTGTCTCTGTCTCTGTCTCTGTCTCTCTCTCTCTCTCTCTCTCTCTCTCTCTCTCTCTCTCTCTCTCTCTCTTTCCCTCTCTCTCTCTCTCTCTCTCTCTGGCTTTACTGTACCTGTCTTTCTCTCTGGCTTTACTGTACCTGTCTCTCTCTGGCTTTACTGTACCTGTCTCTCTCTGGCTTTACTGTACCTGTCTCTGTCTCTCTCTCTCTCTGGCTTTACTGTACCTGTCTCTCTCTGGCTTTACTGTACCTGTCTCTGTCTCTGTCTCTCTCTCTCTCTCTCTCTCTCTCTCTCTCTCTCTCTCTCTCTCTCTCTCTCTCTGGCTTTACTGTACCTGTCTCTCTCTGGCTTTCTGTACCTGTCTCTGTCTGTCTGTCTCTCTCTCTCTCTCTCTCTCTCTCTCTCTCTCTCTGGCTTTACTGTACCTGTCTTTCTCTCTGGCTTTACTGTACCTGTCTCTCTCTGGCTTTACTGTACCTGTCTCTCTCTGGCTTTACTGTACCTGTCTCTCTCTGGCTTTACTGTACCTGTCTCTGTCTCTCTCTCTCTGTCTCTCTGGCTTTACTGTACCTGTCTCTGTCTCTCTCTCTCTCTGGCTTTACTGTACCCATCTCTCTCTCTGGCTTTACTGTACCTGTTTCTGTCTCTGTCTCTCTCTGGCTTTACTGTACCTGTCTCTCTCTCTCTGGCTTTACTGTACCTGTCTCTCTCTCTCTCTCTCTCTGGCTTTACTGTACCTGTCTCTCTCTCTGGCTGTACTGTGCCTCTCTACATCCATCTGACAGTACTGTGCCTCTCTCTACATCCATCTGACAGTACTGTGCCTCTCTCTCCATCCATCTGACAGTACTGTACCTATCTCTGCATCCGTCTGACATTACTGTACGACCCTCTCCATATGTCTGACATTACTGTACGACCCTCTCCATATGTCTGACATTACTGTACGACCCTCTCCATATGTCTGACATTACTGTGTGGTTCCTATCTCTCTATCCTTCTTACTGTATTATACACAATTGCTGTGTGAAAGATGGATGTTTGAAAGGGCCGAATGAAAGACAGGCCGGCGTGCCTAATTTGTAACCCTTTGAAAATAAAGTTTGTTCGTTCGTTCGTTCGTACAATATCTCCGATAAAGTGTGTCACCTGTCTTTACTGGTACTGTTGCAAGTTCAATATTGTGGGCTATGGTTGTAAAACTTGTATTTGTACTGTTGCAAGTTCAATATTGTGGGCTATGGTTGTGTGACCTGTAAATGGTACTGTTGCGAGTTGACTATTGTGGGCTATTGTTGTATGACTAGTACTGCTGCTGTTGCAGGTTCAATATTGTAGGCTATAGTTGTATGACTTGTCTTAGAACTGTTGTAAGTTCAATGTTGTGGGCTATGGTTGTGTGACTTGTACTGGTAATGTTGTGGGTTCAGCGTTGTGGGCTATGGTTGTATGACTTGTATTGATACTGTTGCAGCTTCAACATTGTGGGCTATGGTTGTATGACTTGTATTGATACTGTTGCAGCTTCAACATTGTGGGCTATGGTTGTATGACTTGTATTGGTAACAGCGGGCCATTGCCTGATGAAGTGGGACAGGCTATTGAGAAGGTAGTCTTTGTCTGTGGTCCCTGTCTGTGGTCCCTGTCTATTGTAACTGTTAAACATTGTTGTTGTTAAATTTGTTGTTGTTGACTTTATTGTAGTTATTGAGTTTACTGTAGTTATTGAGTTTACTGTAGTTATTGAGTTTACTGTAGTTATTGAGTTTACTGTAATTATGGAGTTAACCATAGTTACTGAGTTTACTGTAGTTATTGAGTTTACTGTAGTTATTGAGTTTACTGTAGTTATCGAGTTTACCGTAATTATGGAGTTAACCATAGTTACTGAGTTTACTGTAGTTATTGAGTTTACTGTAGTTATTGAGTTTACTGTAGTTATTGAGTTTACTGTAGTTATTGAGTTTACTGTAATTATGGAGTTAACCATAGTTACTGAGTTTACTGTAGTATTGAGTTTACTGTAGTTATTGAGTTTACTGTAGTATTGAGTTTACTGTAATTATGGAGTTAACCATAGTTACTGAGTTTACTGTAGTATTGAGTTTACTGTAGTTATTGAGTTTACTGTAGTATTGAGTTTACTGTAATTATGGAGTTAACCATAGTTACTGAGTTTACTGTAGTATTGAGTTTACTGTAGTTATTGAGTTTACTGGTTTTTGTGTTTGTTGTAGATATTATGTTTATTGTAACTGTTGAGTATTTCTAAATACATATTGAGTTTGTTTTACCGGCTAAGTCTCTTAACCCTACCAGACCTAAGGCCCTGAACCTAACTGTCCCTTTAACCTGTGCTTCTGGGCGCAAACACGAAAAAACCAGCATGATGTACAAGAAAATTAGTTACATGCAAACAAGTGGTTAGAATAAGATAAAACTTGAAGACATTGTTCGTTGTTTTATTGAGCTCATTGTAGATGTTGAATTTGTTGTAGAAGTAACACCTGAAGAACTGACTTGATCGTTTTCACCAATATTGGCAGGGTGAACTGGTAGCCTGTGGTGTCCTGTCTGGCAACCGAAACTTTGAGGGTCGCATTCATCCACTGACCAGAGCTAACTACCTGGCCTCCCCACCTCTAGTCATTGCCTACGCTCTGGCAGGAACAGTGGACATCGACTTTGACAAAGATCCACTAGGTAAGTTGTACTTGTCTCCAACTACCTGGCTACTGTCTCCACAGTTGTGTGATCTTAGACAGTGATAGCAATTTTTTTTGTCACAGCACATCTATAACACAGCTCATCTATAACACAGCTCATCTATAACCCAGCTCATCTATAACCCAGCTCATCTATAACCCAGCTCATCTATAACCCAGCTCATCTATAACACAGCTCATCTATAACACAGCTCATCTATAATACAGCTCATCTATAACACAGCTCATCTATAACACAGCTCATCTTTAACACAGCACATCTATAACACAGCTCATCTATAACACAGCTCATCTATAACACAGCTCATCTTTAACACAGCTCATCTATAACACAGCTCATCTATAACACAGCTCATCTATAACACAGCACATCTATAATACAGCTCATCTATAACACAGCTCATCTTTAACACAGCTCATCTATAACACAGCACATCTATAACACAGCTCATCTATAACACAGCTCATCTATAACACAGCTCATCTATAACACAGCTCATCTTTAACACAGCACATCTATAACACAGCTCATCTATAACACAGCTCATCTATAACACAGCACATCTATAACACAGCACATCTATAACACAGCTCATCTATAACACAGCTCATCTATAACACAGCTCATCTATAACACAGCTCATCTATAACCCAGCTCATCTATAACACAGCACATCTTTAACACAGCACATCTATAACACAGCACATCTATAACACAGCACATCTATAACACAGCTCATCTATAACACAGCTCATCTATAACACAGCACATCTATAACACAGCACATCTATAACACAGCACATCTATAACACAGCTCATCTATAACACAGCTCATCTATAACACAGCACATCTATAACACAGCTCATCTATAACACAGCACATCTATAACACAGCACATCTATAACACAGCACATCTATAACACAGCACATCTATAACACAGCTCATCTATAACCCAGCTCATCTATAACCCAGCTCATCTATAACCCAGCTCATCTATAACCCAGCTCATCTATAACCCAGCACATCTATAACACAGCACATCTATGACACAGCACATCTATGACACAGCTCATCTATGACACAGCTCATCTATAACACAGCACATCTGTAACATAACATTTCAGCACTTAGATCACAACAAACTTATAGTGGATAACCAATCAGGTTTTCGACCAAACTATTCTTGCCATACTGCTTTAACTAACATGATTGAAAAATGGCACCAGAATGTTAATGATGAGAAAATATGTGGCGGGGTGTTAATAGACTTTAAGAAAGCTTTTGATATGATAGACCATAACATTTTTTTAAGAAAATGAGAAACAATGAAATTTAACCCTAGACTATTACAGTTAATAAAATCCTTTTTGTTAAATAGAAAACAAATAATCTGTTACAATAAATCACTATCGCAAGCCACTGACTTAAATACTGGGGTACCTCAAGGCTCGATTCTCGGCCTTCTCTTATTCAATATCTACATAAATGACCTTCCTTTATGTCTGTCGTCGTCCTGCGATTTATTCGCAGACGACTGTACCATCTATGCAAATGCTCAAAAATGTAATGTACTAGAGTCGTCATTACAACAAGAATAAAATAATGTAGTCCAATGGAGCAGTGCAAACCGTATGCAAATAAACATTAATAAAACCAAATCTATGCTTATAACGACCAGACAAAAACTATACAGTTTAAATTCTCAGAGAACGCTTCAACTCTACATTGGGGGCACTCAAGTAGAAAATGTAACTGAGCACAAGACACTGGGGTTAGTAATTGATGCAAATCTAACCTTCAACTCACACGTACAAGCACTTGTGAAGCGAACAGCTAAAAAGGTTTACCAGCTTGCAAAAATTAAACTTTCTTGATGAACACACAAGAAAGATATTAACATCCAGACATATATAGACTATTGCTCTACAATTTGGGATGGCTGTTCCAGCTCTGTTATCAAGCGACTCACATCACTGCATTCGCTTAATTAGTAACAATCATGGAACAGTGAGCTCCGAAACATATAAAGGTCTTAAGCTACTACCGCTTCGTGAACGTCTACTTTTCAATAAGGCAAAATATACTTACAAAATTTTATCTCAAAAGGCTCCATGTTACTTATGGCCGTTGTTTAAATATAATGAATGGCATAGTAAGCGTCTAAACATATTACACATCCCTAAACCTAGGATAGACCTTTATAAAACAAGTTTGTCATATTCCACAGCTCAATTGTGGAACTATCTACCACAGCAAATCAAAAGTACCACTAGTCCATTTACATACAATCGGAAACTGTTCGAATATTATCTGAGCACCGATTATATGCCCCCATAGAAGATAAAACATATGTGAAAAATAGCGCTCATTTTCCTTAGATTTGTTACAACTAATACGCTTTACTGTAGTTAGTAATGTGCACATTCCAGTGCTTGTATTGATTATTTTGATGCTATTGCTAACTTTTAAATTACTTGATGTGTGAACGAAATGATGTAAGAATGGAGGGAGACCTCGAAGGGCAGAATGTTAGACAGGCCTGCGTGCCAAATTCTTAACCCTTTAAAAATAAAGTTTGTTTGTTCGTTCGTTCGTTTGAAACACATGTATAACACAGTACATCTATAATACAGCACATCTGTAAAACATCACAGTTGTGTCACAGCTCATCTATAACAAAACTCATCTGTAACGAAACACATTTATAACACAGTACATCTATAATACAGCACATCTGTAACACATCACAGTTGTGCCACAGCACCTGTCACGAAGACATTTATAACACAATACATCTATAATACAGCACATCTGTAACACATCACAGTTGTGTCACAGCACCTGTCACGAAAGACATTTATAGCGCAGCACATTTGTGATATTTCAGGACAAATTGGTCTTTAAATTAACACAGCAAAAACAAAAATGATTGATCTGACCATTAGTTCAGAGAACATCAAACTAAACAATCACATTCTTGAAAAAGTCAACATCTTTACATACCTGGGGAGTAAGATGACACCCTTAGGTGATTAAGCACCAGAAATATCATTTAGGATGGCACTGGGATCTAGTGCCTTTACCAAACTGCCATACGTTTGTGAGTCAAAGACAGCAAACACAAACAACTCAAGATCTTCAACTTTTGTATGATTCCAGTACTAACTTATCGATGTCAGAGTTGGAAAACAACAGTAGCTCTTGATAAAAATTTGACAGTTTTAAGAACAAATGTTTTAGAAGAATACTGAATCTCAACTGGACAGATTTAAGATCCAATATGCAAATAAGACAAGAGACCAAGCAAGAAAATGTATCAAATTTTATAAGAAAACACCGCTGGAACTACGTCGGCCATGCACTCAAAATGAATAAGACAAGACCCCCCCACCAAGTCCTCAAATAAACACTGGAAGGGAATAGAAAACGGGGAAGACCAAGAGAGACTCTGCATAGAACCATCATCAGGGAAAGCTCAACTGTGGGCCTAATATCCAATACCTAAATCAGGTTGCAACGAACCACCAGACATGGAGAGCTATGACCTCTGCCCTGTGTGCTGCCTTAGGCTCAAGAGGAAAGACTGACTAACATTTGTAACACATCACAGCTGTGTCACAGCAGATCACAAACACATACATAACACAGCACATCTGTCTTAAAAGATATTATAACACAGCACAGCTGTGTGAAAGCACATCTGTAAAAAAAAAAAAAAACTTTATAACACAGCACATCTATGACACAGCACATGTGTAACACATCACATCCCCAACACAGCATGTCTGTTATAGCAGTCATATGAACACAGAAGAAGTGGTATTTAGAGATGTGGTCCTGGAAGAGAACTAATGGGAGATGTCCTGGAGGATCAATAATGGGAGTTGTCCTGGAAGATCAATAATGGGAGGTGTGGTCTTGGAAGATAAATAATGGGAGGTGTGGTCTTGGAAGATAAATAATGGGAGGTGTGGTCTTGGAAGATAAATAATGGGAGATGTGCTCCTGGAAGATCAATAATGGGAGGTGTGGTCTTGGAAGATCAATAATGGGAGATGTGCTCCTGGAAGATCAATAATGGGAGGTGTGGTCTTGAAAGATCAATAATGGGAGGTGTGGTCTTGGAAGATCAATAATGGGAGGTGTGGTCCTGGTTGAGCAATAATGGGAGGTGTGGTCCTGGTTGAGCAATAATGGGAGGTGTGGTCCTGGTTGAGCAATAATGGGAGGTGTGGTCCTGGTTGAGCAATAATGGGAGGTGTGGTCCTGGTTGAGCAATAATGGGAGATGTGGTCCTGGTTGAGCAATAATGGGAGGTGTGGTCCTGGTTGAGCAATAATGAGAGGTGTGGTCCTGGTTGAGCAATAATGGGAGGTGTGGTCCTGGTTGAGCAATAATGGGAGGTGTGGTCCTGGTTGAGCAATAATGGGAGATGTGGTCCTGGAAGAGCAATAACGGGAGGTGTGGTCCTGGTTGAGCAATAATGGGAGGTGTGGTCCTGGTTGAGCAATAACGGGAGGTGTGGTCCTGGTTGAGCAATAATGGGAGGTGTGGTCCTGGTTGAGCAATAATGGGAGATGTGGTCCTGGTTGAGCAATAATGGGAGATGTGGTCCTGGAAGAGCAATAACGGGAGGTGTGGTCCCGGTTGAGCAATAATGGGAGGTGTGATCCTGGTTGAGCAATAATGGGAGATGTGGTCCTGGAAGAGCAATAATGGGAGATGTGGTCCTGGAAGAGCAATAATGGGAGATGTGGTCCTGGAAGAGCAATAATGGGAGATGTGGTCCTGGAAGAGAGACAGTGTCCTGATTACAGTTTCTTGTGTTGTCTTCTTTCCTAGGCACTCGTTCAGATGGATCTCCTGTCTTCCTACGGGATATTTGGCCCAAACGGGATCTAGTTCAGGCAGTGGAGAAAGAGTTTGTGGTTCCAGCCATGTTCCAAGATGTGTACTCACGTATTTCTGTAAGTTTGTGGTTCCAGCAATGTTCCATGATGTGTACTCACGTATTTCTGTAAGTTTTTGATTTCTGCCATGTTCCATGCTGTGTACTCACGTATTTCTGTAAGTTTATGGTTCCAGCCATGTTCCATGCTGTGTACTAACGTATTTCTGTAAGTTTATTGTTCCAGCCATGTTCCATGCTGTGTACTAACATATTTCTGTAAGTTTATTGTTCCAGCCATGTTCCATGCTGTGTACTCACATATTTCTGTAAGTTTATGGTTCCAGCCATGTTCCATGCTGTGTATTCACATATTTCTGTAAGTTTATGGTTCCAGCCATGTTCCATGCTGTGTACTCACATATTTCTGTAAGTTTGTGGTTGCAGCCATGTTCCATGCTGTGTACTCACATATTTCTGTAAGTTTGTGGTTGCAGCCATGTTCCTTTGTGTGTACTCAAATATTTCTTAAATTTTTAGTTTCAGCCATGTTCTTTGGTGTGAACCCAAAACGTTTGGTTATATATATATATGTATCTATGTATGTATGTATGTATGAATGTATGTAGGTAGGTAGGTAGGTATGTGTATATATATATATATACACATTCTAGGGCTGTACCGAATAGTGATTTTCACTATTCGGCCGAATACGAATAGCTGGAACAACTATTCTGCCGAATATGAATAAGAATAGTGAATAGTGAATCATCATCATCATGTGATTTGCCGGCTGGCATGGGCGATTATGCCTCGCCACAATCTGCGATCTCCTGCAGCACGTATTAGTTCGTGTGCTGACACACCTCCATGAAAAACCTTCGTTCCATGTTGTCAGCATTAGGCCAGCTTTTTGTCTCACTGAAGGTATTTCCAGCTGTACTAAACAGGAAAATACGACAAATACAGAGAGTCAAAATGAAAACCCGCAAGGCGAAACATCAAAAACAAAAATAACGCAGACGAAGAAAACAATGCCGTCCTTACAAGTCGCCCAGCCCCCCGCGAGCTCACAAAACCAGACGCCGGGCGGCCAACGCCAGAAGATCAAACAACAAAGACAATCAAGAAACCGAACGTCGATCAAAACATTCAGCCGCTGCCGTTTCCACGAGACGACGAAAGAACAGATACGACACCCATAAATGATGACGAACTCCCGTTACTTCAAAGAATCAACGAAGAGGACACTTCACATAAAGAAATCAAGCCGACAACACTAGAACACTTGCTTTTCTGCCCTTCTTACATTTTTAAGTGTTGCATTTTGTTTCTACAGCAACACACCTAAAAACACTATACTTGCAACACATGCAAGATGGAAATAAAGGGGCACTTGGTATGCTCGTAGGTGGTGCACAAAGATAACGCTTCACAGTATAAACCAAGGTGGGAAGTCTTGATGTTTTTTTCCACCAGTCCAGAAACGGTTGTGAGGTAACCACTACTCGTATTCGGCCCGACCGCAACTATTCGGCCGAATACTGAATAGTTATTGGGTCCACTATTTAGCCCCGAAGCGAATACGAAGCGAATATTCGGTACAGCCCTAATACATACACACATATATACACACACACACATGCATACACACATTTATGCAAATCCTGTGTACTTGCTTATCACACCCACAAACTCAAACACGTTAACATTCACATACACACATTCATAAATAGACAAATACACTCTTATACACACCCACTAAAATACACACACACTCATACATACATACATGCATGCTCACATACATACATACATACATATACATACATGCGCATGCATACGAACATTCTCATTGATCCACATACATACCTACAGCCTACAGGGGCACAGCATACAGAGGGCACAGACTATGTTAGTCAGTGGAATGACACCAGCACATACATACCTACAGCCTACAGGGGCACAGCATACAGAGGGCACAGACTATGTTAGTCAGTGGAATGACACCAGCACATACATACCTACAGCCTACAGGGGCACAACATACAGAGGGCACAGACTATGTTAGTCAGTGGAATGACACCAGCACATACATACCTACAGCCTACAGGGGCACAACATACAGAGGGCACAGACTATGTTAGTCAGTGGAATGACACCAGCACATACATACCTACAGCCTACAGGGGCACAGCATACAGAGGGCACAGACTATGTTAGTCAGTGGAATGACACCAGCACATACATACCTACAGCCTACAGGGGCACAACATACAGAGGGCACAGACTATGTTAGTCAGTGGAATGACACCAGCACATACATACCTACAGCCTACAGGGGCACAACATACAGAGGGCACAGACTATGTTAGTCAGTGGAATGACACCAGCACATACATCTACGAAGACATACGATGACATGTGCAGGAGAAGCTGCAGATGATTGTCAGAATTCTCATTGACAATCATGTGTCGATTGTTTCTAGGATGGCAATAAGAGGTGGAACGAGCTAGAAGCGCCCTCCAGCCATTTGTACCCCTGGGATGAGAAATCTACCTACATTAAGTCTCCTCCTTTCTTTGATGACATGGTAGGTAATAGGAAGCTTTGGGCTTTCATTTGATTCTCCGTGTATGTTGTAACTTTCATTTTAATTTCTGTGTGTTTTAACTTTCATTTGATTGTGAGTGTTGTAACTTTCATTTGATTGTGCGTGAGTGTTGTAACTTTCATTTGATTGTCCGTGAGTGTTGTAACTTTCATTTGATTGTCTGTGAGTGTTGTAACTTTCATTTGATTGTCCGTGAGTGTTGTAACTTTCATTTGATTCTTTGTGTGTATTTTCTTATTTTGCATTAATCCGAAAAGGTAACTGCGTTGTTGCTGTTTACAGAATGGCTGTAATATTTTTGCCTTTCACCAACACATTTGACTTCTGCAGGCATTAGATGACGTTGCAAAGAGATGTGGCTCAATGCAGCAGTCCTCGCCTGTGAAGGTTTTCAGATGAGAGAAGAGACATGTGCAGCTGCACTAGACTTAGAGGATGGGTACAACAGAATACCATTTGAATACTGGGTGCACATACTTCCCCAACTGCAAGAATCCCCCTTCATCACCCGCTGGATAGCCGCAACACTGTTTCAGAGACGGATGATACTCAGGTGTAGTTGTTGGTCCTCAGAACCGATAACCATCAGCCCAGGATTGCCTCAAGGTTCTCCGCTGACTCCAGTGCTATTCAACGTGTACACAGTGCTGGTAACTGAGCAGCAGTTGCACGGGAGAGCAGGAAAATGTCATTTGCTGATGACGTCTTGGAAGAGATCTTCAAGAAATTGCCTGTTCAAAGTGAACTTTGTCATATCTCCTCCTAGTATGCAGATTCTAATGCTCATGTCAACCCTTTGAAGGCCTCAGTAATGTATTTCTCCTTGACGGTTCTCACGTATAGTGAAGGCAGACTTACCAGCAGTGGAAAGCAGCGAGGAAATTTTGACGATAACAAATCTGATGACATACCCCGGAGTGAGGTTTGATCGCAGCCTATCCTTCATGAACATGTTGGCCATGTTATAACAAAAGCACGCAAAGGCCTGTCAGCAATGAGGGTCCTGGCTGCTGCTAACACTGAGCAGAGACTGCTTCTGCTTCTGTTCCAGGGACTTGTACTTTCTCCCATCGAATATGCTCTAGCCATCCTCGCTGTCAGCCATACTCAGATTGAAAGACTTGAGAAGGTGCAAAACGAAGCAATGCACATTATTTTAAGGTGCAGAGGAGACACCTCTTGTGTAGCAATGAGATATCTTCTTGACTTCCCTACTATGAACTACAGGATCAAGATCTGGAGGGCTCGCGCATACCTCAAGATAAGCTCAGATCTGAAGCACCCTTGGCACCACATGCTCTTCAAGAAAAAGGGCAATAGGCTTAAAAGGGGCAAATCATGGCTGGGTAATGCTGAGGATGATAGCATGCAGGTTTGCAGCCTTACAGACATCCATCCAGTCGAGGAATGGATACCAGCGTCTGAAGCACCCAGTCACACATTCTCCTGTGTTGTGACGCTCTATAGGAGTTGTCGGGAGCAGAATCCAACTGCTGTCAGTGCTGAGGTATGCATGCTTATCAGTGACAAGTCAGATGAGACAGATGTGTTGATCTTCATAGATGGGTCCATTATACGAGGATATAAGAGTGCATGAGCATTTACAGCTCGCTATTCAGGCAAAACAGCTCAAGAAGCCAGCGGTGCCTTCTCCATGACCACCAGCAGCATGACAATGGAGGTGATGGCGGTGACACAAGCTTTTATTTGGCTAAAATCACAGGACTATTCCTGCGTGTGTGTGCTGAGTGATTCTTTGAGCATGATCCAGCGGGTCAAGGCAGACTAGTTACCCAGACAGGGGTTTGAGTCATTACAAAACTCTCCTATGTGTGCAGTTACCTTCATATTCATCCCAGGGTATTCAGGCGTTGTTGGTAATGAGAGAGCTGATAGACTGGCAGGTGCTGCATTAATTGAAGATGGCTGACCCATGGATCACGCAGACTTTGTCATTGCCCTTAAAGAGGACACTCTGAGGATTTTGGAAGCAACATGTCCACATCACTGCTGAGAATACGAGAATTGGGAGTAAAGATCGGCACAGCCAAGCATGAGAAGCACACCAGACGCACACAGAGTCTTGTTAACCAACCTAGGACTGGCACCCAACCTAGGACTGGCACTATTAACTCGCAACACTGATGAATATATTGAGAATGAAATCTGAGTGCCTATGGATGTGTCCGGAGGGCTGTGAAGATAATCTAACTCATAACTCATAACTGACTGAGTTAGCCTGCATTTGGTTCTCTGTGTGTATTGTAACTTTCATTTTATTCTCTGTGTGTATTGTAACTTTCATTTTATTCTCTGTGTGTATTGTAACTTTTTTATTCTCTTTGTGCATTGTAACTTTCATTTTATTCTCTGTGTGTATTGTAACTTTTTTATTCTCTTTGTGCATTGTAACTTTCATTTTATTCTCTGTGTGTATTGTAACTTTCATTTTATTCTCTGTGTGTATTGTAACTTTCATTTTATTCTCTTTGTGCATTGTAACTTTCATTTTATTCTCTGTGTGTATTGTAACTTTCATTTTATTCTCTGTATTGTAACTTTCACTTGATTCTCTGTGCATATTGTAGGGAAACTTTCATTTGATTCTGTGTGTGAGTTGAAACTTTCATTTGGTTATTTATGTGTATTGTCACTTTGATTTGATTCCCTGTATGCCTTATAACTTTCATTTTGTTCTCTGGTGTATTATAACTTTCTTTTGATTCTGTGTGTATGTTGTATCTTTCATATAATTCTCTGTGAATGTTGTAACTTTTATTTCATTCTCCATGTGTGTTATAGCTTTCATTTGATTCTCTGCTTTCATAAGATTCTCTTGTGTGTTTTAACTTTCATTTGATTATCTGTGTGTATTGTAACTTTCATTTGATTCTTTCAATGTATATTGCAACTGTAATTTTATTCTCTCTGTGTTGTAACTTTCATTTGATTCATTTGATCAGATCTGACTGTCACATGTCCAATAGATCAGATCTGACTGTCACATCTCCAATAGATCAGATCTTACTGTCGTGTCCAGTAGATCAGATCTGTCACATGCCCTGTATGTTGTATCTTTCATATAATTCTCTGTGAATGTTGTAACTTTTATTTCATTCTCCATGTGTGTTATAGCTTTCATTTGATTCTCTGCTTTCATAAGATTCTCTTGTGTGTTTTAACTTTCATTTGATTATCTGTGTGTATTGTAACTTTCATTTGATTCTTTCAATGTATATTGCAACTGTAATTTTATTCTCTCTGTGTTGTAACTTTCATTTGATTCATTTGATCAGATCTGACTGTCACATGTCAAATAGATCAGATCTGACTGTCACATCTCCAATAGATCAGATCTTACTGTCACGTGCCCAGTAGATCAGATCTGACTGTCACATGCCCTGTAGATCAGATCTGACTGTCACATCTCCAATAGATCAGATCTGACTGTCACATCTCCAATAGATCAGATCTGACTGTCTCATGTCCAGTAGATCAGATCTGACTGTCATATCTCCAATAGATCAGATCTGACTGTCACATGTCCAGTAGATCAGATCTGACTGTCACATGCCCTGTAGATCAGATCTGACTGTCACATCTCCAGGAGATTAGATCTGACTGTCACATGTCCAGTAGATAAGCTGTCACATGTCCAGTAAATCAGATCTGACTGTCACATGAATACATCTGGTGTTTATTAATCTATGACAGGAGCTTGAGTTGACTGGTGTCAAACCGATCATCAAAGCTGCAGTCCTGCTGTACCTGGGAGACTCGGTGACTACGGATCATATATCTCCTGCTGGAAGTATCGCCAGGAACAGCCCAGCAGCCAGGTTTCTGGCTGCTCGCGGGTGGGTACTCCTGCATCAGTTCTCTTGTTCTCTACTCATTTTGTCTGAGGTTTTAATTTTTGTGGCTTTTGCTGCCATGAGTTTTGTTCAGCAACAGTAGGAACCTGGTTTCACACATTGACTGTAGTTTGTTCAGCAACAGTAGGAACCTGGTTTCACACATTGACTGGTTACTTCAGCAACAGTAGGAACCTGGTTTCACACATTGACTGTGGTTTGTTCAGCAACAGTAGGAACTTGGTTTCACACAGTGACTGTGGTTTGTTCAGCAACAGTAGGAACTTGGTTTCACACAGTGACTGTGGTTTGTTCAGCAACAGTAGGAACCTGGTTTCACACATTGACTGTGGTTTGTTCAGCAACAGTAGGAACCTGGTTTCACACATTGACTGTGGTTTGTTCAGCAACAGTAGGAACATGGTTTCACACACTGACTCGTTGCCAGAACGTTAACCCAAATATTGGAGTCGGGTGGCCATTTCCCCGCTACACTAGGTGGCTACCGACCAGGAAGAGATACATGGTGCAATGCTGCAGTATTTGCCTACGACACATACGAAGGTTTCCAGGAGGGAATAGAAACGGCTGCAGCCGCTATTGACTTAGAAGATGCGTACAACAGCGTCCCATACAACATGCTCATCAGACTGCTGTTGGATATGCAGATAGAAACAAATTTGGTCAACTGGATCGCAGCAGCGCTATTTGAAAGAACAGTGTCGCTTCGATGTGGTGAATGGGCATCCGAACCTTAACGCGTCCTAATGGGTCTGCCCCAGGGATCACCATTGTCGCCTGTGCTCTTCAATGTGTACACAGCAGGAGTCACTAGTGCACAACGCGTAGGCCTAGGCAGAACAATGTCGTATGCAGATGATATCCTTGTGTACCGTCGAGGTAAAAACAGGCAGGAAATTACAACCACACTACAACACGAACTAGACAGACTTAGTGAGTGGTGCCAGGAATCAAGAGCTCATGTGAACCCGTCCAAAGCCTCCTTAACATGGTTCTCTCTGAATACCCACATCGTGAGTACACCAACGCCAGTCGTAAGCATCTGTGGTGTGGACATCGAGAGAACGGACACCATGAAATACCTGGGCATGACATTTGACAGATGCTTGTCATACAAATGCCACGTAGACAACGTCATACTTAGAGCCAGGAAAGGTTTGACAGCACTCAAGGTGCTAGCAGCAGCTGATATTGAACAACGTCTACTTTTCCTTCTCTATCAAGGGCTTGTGCTTAGCGTCATTGACTATGGTCTCGGCCTCCTCACTGTCAGCAAAACCCAGCTAGAAAGACTGGACCGAGTACAGAATGAGGCCATGAGACTCATACTCGGCTGCACAAAAGACACCTCCTGCAACGCCATGCGTTATATCCTGGGTCTGCCGACTATGACAAGCAGATACAAAGTGGCACAGGTCAAGGCTTACATGAGGGTATCGGCAGATGTTAACCACCCATTACACAAAGCTATTCACGACACAAAAGGAACGCGTCTCAAAAGGGGCCGCTCTTGGATGGCAAAGGCTGAGGACTTAATCCAGCAGGTATGTGACCTAGACGTGATCAGCCACGGAAAAGAATGGACGAATACACCAGTAGACATGCATGGCATTTCTAAGGTTGTCATCACACTCGGAAGGTACTGCAGGGATCAAATTCCCGCGGCGGTAGACACAGAAGTAAGGGAGCTGATAGATCAGCATTCAGACCCAGAAGATACCATCATCTACACAGATGGATCTGTGAAGCGCGGATCAAGGTCAGCATGGGCATACACAGCGCAAAGAAAGGGGAAAACAATACATGAGGACAGCGGCGCTTACCAGACAACCACATCAAGCATGACAATGGAAATAGCCGCTGCTTCTAGAGCTTTAGCATGGGTATCCGAGCAAACCGCCACACAGGTAGTAATTGTCTCAGACTCAATGAATATGCTTCAGAAGATAGCAACAGGCAGCATGCGCTCTGAATGGATAGAAAGCATCAGGAAATCGCACTTAACCTCCGTAACCTGGATCTACACACCGGGTCATGCGGGCGTGAAGGGAAATGAACGAGCAGACCAACTGGCAAGCACTGCACTAATGATTGCAGGAAAAAGTATGGACAGAGCAGACATAGTCAACGCTGTACGAACCGGGCTAGTGGAGAATGAGGAATCCCTGACACTAACACGATTGCGTGACATGGGAGTTAAGCATGGTGATGCACGTCTTTGCCGTCTTCGAGGCCGAGAAAGGAGACAATATAACCAGCTTCTCATGGGGACAATTAGTAGAAGTGCTTTGGAGTGGCTGCTGCTTCGGAGAACTGAGCACGCATGGGTATGCCCAATGTGCAGTGACATTAATTGTGATAACAGAACATAAAATAACATCTTAGTAGGGAGTCGGCAGTACGAAACCCAAGTTCAAGGTGTCTCCTTCGTGCCAAAGAACTGCATGGCTGTTGGGTGAACAGTCGTTAACGAGGGCAGGCAGGTCGTTGTAGGGGTGACGCCTGCTGGTGGATGTAATGTCCTAAGTCCCTTCCCCAGCTAATAATGAGGGTACTGCTGGGGTGACCGTTTATTAACCCTCATATAATTCTTCCGGTCAAAATGGACGCTAGGTACGGCCACCTTTTTTTTTTTTTTTAAAGCCGTGGCAAATATTTTTCCAGACGGTGGCCGTTGCATTTTTGCTCGATTTGTAGACTGGATGGATGTTGTTTCGTCGCCCAGCTTCTGAGTTGAGTGCATGGCGTGACACTGTAAGCTGCGTTTGTTTTTCGTTGGCACAGGAGCGGAGCATGTGTGGGGTGACCCGTTTGCTATGAAGCTGAAACTAGGATTACCAGATTACCAGATTACACACTGACTGTGGTTTGTTCAGCAACAGTAGGAACCTGGTTTCACACATTGACTGGTTAGTTCAGCAACAGTAGGAACCTGGTTTCACACACTGACTGCTGGGTTGTTCAGCAACAGTAGGAACCTGGTTTCACACACTGACTGCTGGGTTGTTCAGCAACAGTAGGAACCTGGTTTCACACACTGACTGTGGTTTGTTCAGCAACAGTAGGAACCTGGTTTCACACACTGACTGCTGGGTTGTTCAGCAACAGTAGGAACCTGGTTTCACACACTGACTGCTGGGTTGTTCAGCAACAGTAGGAACCTGGTTTCACACATTGACTGGTTTGTTCAGCAACAGTAGGAACATGGTTTCACACATTGACTGGTTTGTTCAGCAACAGTAGGAACCTGGTTTCACACATTGACTGGTTTGTTCAGCAACAGTAGGAACCTGGTTTCACACATTGACTGTGGTTTGTTCAGCAACAGTAGGAACCTGGTTTCACACACTGACTGCTGGGTTGTTCAGCAACAGTAGGAACCTGGTTTCACACACTGACTGCTGGGTTGTTCAGCAACAGTAGGAACCTGGTTTCACACACTGACTGCTGGGTTGTTCAGCAACAGTAGGAACCTGGTTTCACACACTGACTGCTGGGTTGTTCAGCAACAGTAGGAACCTGGTTTCACACACTGACTGCTGGGTTGTTCAGCACCAGTAGGAACCTGGTTTCACACACTGACTGCTGGTTTGTTCAGCAACAGTAGGAACCTGGTTTCACACATTGACTGCTGGGTTGTTCAGCAACAGTAGGAACCTGGTTTCACACACTGACTGCTGGGTTGTTCAGCAACAGTAGGAACCTGGTTTCACACATTGACTGCTGGGTTGTTCAGCAACAGTAGGAACCTGGTTTCACACACTGACTGCTGGGTTGTTCAGCAACAGTAGGAACCTGGTTTCACACACTGACTGCTGGGTTGTTCAGCAACAGTAGGAACCTGGTTTCACACATTGACTGCTGGGTTGAACGACGTGCTCTTGTTGCAGAAGGTGTAACTGTTTATGGTCGTCAACTGCATTTAAAGGCTATGGTAAGCACCAGCAAGGAGATCAAGATTAGAATGTTGCATGCATCTTCCTTGTAGCAATATACGGATGTGAGTCGTGGTCCTTAAGAAAGAGAATAGGGGCTTTTGAGGTGAAATGCTATAAAACGATTTTCAGAATATCTTGGACAAAGAAGAGGGGAAAAAGTGATATCTTGAAAGATCTGAACATCAAGGAAGATTTTCTAATAAATAGCATCCTGTCTTGGAAGTTGAAATATTTAGGTCATATCAAGCGCCATGACAGATTGGAAACAATAATAGTGGAAGGCATGGTACCAGGAAGGAGGAGCGGGGGCTGACAAACACGAAGAAGGGAACATGATATAAGTGACTCCGAGAGACCAAGTTTTTTTTTTTTTTCTGCTGTGAATGAACTATGTGAAAATCTGCTGTCAATAAAAACCTCCTGTGAATGAAATACATGAAAACCTGCTGTGATAGAAATACATGAAAACCTGCTGTGAAAGAAATACATGAAAACCTGCTGTGAATGAAATACATGAAAACCTGCTGTGAAAGAAATACATAAAAACTTTGCTATGAAAGAAATACTTGAAAACTTGCTGTGAATGAAATACATGAAAACCTGCTGTGAAAGAAATACATAAAAACTTTGCTATGAAAGAAATACATAAAAACTTTGCTATGAAAGAAATACATGAAAACCTGCTGTGAAAGAAATACATAAAAACTTTGCTATGAAAGAAATACATGAAAACCTGCTGTGAATGAAATACATGAAAACTTGCTGTGAAAGAAATACTTGAAAACTTGCTGTGAAAGAAATACTTGAAAACCTGCTGTGAAAGAAATACATGAAAACCTGCTGTGAAAGAAATACATAAAAACTTTGCTATGAAAGAAATACATGAAAACCTGCCCATGATGTCTGTGACTTGACAGTTACTGGAAGTGACTGGAGAAACAAATATGATGTAGAACAGGGCTGTCCAGCTGAGTTTTGGCTGGAGCAAACACTGGGAAGCTTGAGAGAATCACTGGCCATTCATTAGATCATGGAGACAGTACATGTGGCAATGATCCGTAGGCCTCCGCACATTTAGCCTACGGGGCACCAGTTGAATAGCTGTGTTCTAGCATAACATGAGATTATAATTCATTACAAAATAGTAATGTTTACAAAATAGTAATGTCCTGAGGATTTTAGCATCTGTTTCTTGACACTGATATGTGGTATAGCCATAAGTCATGAAAAAAAGAACACACATTCATGCACGGATGCACAATTATGTATCATAACAATGTTTAATCCTGCTCCACATCTTTACTCAATGATGAGTGGTTTCTGGCTTTGTTGGGCAGCTTCACCCAATGTTGGAGGCTGTCTTTCATGTTGGGCAGCTTCACCCAATGTTGGAGGCTGTCTTTCATGTTGGGCAGCTTCACCCAATGTTGGAGGCTGTCTTTCATGTTGGGCAGCTTCACCCAATGTTGGAGGCTGTCTTTCATGTTGGGCAGCTTCACCCAATGTTGGAGGCTGTCTTTCATGTTGGGCAGCTTCACCCAATGTTGGAGGCTGTCTTTCATGTTGGGCAGCTTCACCCAATGTTGGAGGCTGTCTTTCATGTTGGGCAGCTTCACCCAATGTTGGAGGCTGTCTTTCATGTTGGGCAGCTTCACCCAATGTTGGAGGCTGTCTTTCATGTTGGGCAGCTTCACCCAATGTTGGAGGCTGTCTTTCATGTTGGGCAGCTTCACCCAATGTTGGAGGCTGTCTTTCATGTTGGGCAGCTTCACCCAATGTTGGAGGCTGTCTTTCATGTTGGGCAGCTTCACCCAATGTTGGAGGCTGTCTTTCATGTTAGGCAGCTTCACCCAATGTTGGAGGGTATCTTTCAAGTTGGATGGTTTTGTTTTTTTCAGTCATGGCTCCTGTCAATGTCTCGTGGCTTCTGTTAATATTGGGTGGTTACTGTCAGCAGTGAGTGGTTTCTGTCTGTGTCGGATGACTATTACTACTGTTGGACAACTTGTCTCAATGTTGAATGGCTTCTGTCAATGTCAGATGTCTTCTTTCATTGTTAGGTGGCTTCTCTTAATGTTGGAGATGTAGATGTAGATGTCTGGTTGTTGGATAGGGCATCAAGGTGTAGATGTCTGGTTGTTAGATAGGGCATCAAGGTGTAGATGTCTGGTTGTTGGATAGGGCATCAAGGTGTAGATGTCTGGTTGTTAGATAGGGCATCAAGGTGTAGATGTTGGATAGGGCATCAAGGTCTAGTTGTTGGATAGGGCATCAAGGTCTAGTTGTTGGATAGGGCATCAAGGTCTAGTTGTTGGATAGGGCATCAAGGTCTAGTTGTTGGATAGGGCATCAAGGTCTAGTTGTTGGATAGGGCATCAAGGTGTGGATGTCTGGCTTTTGGATAGGGCAACAAGGTGTAGATGTCTGGCTTTTGGATAGGGCAACAAGGTGTAGATGTCTGGCTTTTGGATAGGACATCAAGGTGTGGATGTCTGGCTTTTGGATAGGGCAACAAGGTGTGGATGTCTAGTTGTTGGAAAGGGCATCAAGGTCTAGTTGTTGGATAGGGCATCAAGGTCTAGTTGTTGGATAGGGCATCAAGGTCTAGTTGTTGGATAGGGCATCAAGATCTAGTTGTTGGATAGGGCATCAAGGTCTAGTTGTTGGATAGGGCATCAAGGTCTAGTTGTTGGATAGGGCATCAAGGTGTAGATGTCTAGTTGTTGGATAGGGCATCAAGGTGTGGATGTCTAGTTGTTGGATAGGGCATCAAGGTGTGGATGTCTAGTTGTTGGATAGGACATCAAGGTGTGGATGTCTAGTTGTTGGATAGGACATCAAGGTGTGGATGTCTAGTTGTTGGATAGGGCATCAAGGTGTAGATGTCTAGTTGTTGGATAGGACATCAAGGTGTAGATGTCTAGTTGTTGGATAGGACATCAAGGTGTGGATGTCTGGCTTTTGGATAGGGCATCAAGGTGTGGATGTCTAGTTGTTTGATAGGGCATCAAGGTGTAGATGTCTAGTTGTTAGATAGGGCTTCAAGGTGTGGATGTCTAGTTGTTAGATAGGACATCAAATCATAGCAATCACAGATGCCCACTGCTGCACACATGTCAACATAAACAAATCATAGCAATCACAGATGCCCACTGGCCACTTGTATGTTTTGTAAACCAGTATCATATTGCATATTTTCCCATTCTTGTTGATGTCTAGAATATATTTCATGGTAATATATTTTATGTATCCCAACAACAACAACAGACTAGTTCCTCGAGAGTTCAACTCTTATGGGTCTCGCAGAGGACACGATGAAGTGATGGCCCGCAGTACTTTTGCAAATATTCATCTCATTAACAAGTTTGTGAAGAAGCCAGGACCAAGAACTATTTATCACCCAAGTGGTGAGGAGGTAGGCGTCAGTTTGGATTCTAAATTATTGTCAGTGTTGTATGAATAAAGTAGGTGTCTTTCTTATTCTGCCCGTAACTTCCACTACAGGCCCTCAGTCATCTCACAGCTGTAGTCTGTTGTAGTTCCTTTGTCACTTAGTGAGACTAGGCCCTCACCTTTCTCACAGCTGTTATCTCTTGTAGTTCCTATATCTTCCACTAGAGGCCCTTAGCCATCTCACTGCTGTTATCTCTTGTAGTTCCTGTATCTTCCACTAGAGGCCCTTAGCCATCTCACTGCTGTTATCTCTTGAGGTTCCTATATCTTCCACTAGAGGCCCTTAGCCATCTCACTGCTGTTATCTCTTGTAGTTCCTATATCTTCCACTAGAGGCCCTTAGCCATCTCACAGCTGTTATCTCTTGTAGTTCTTATATCTTCCACCAGAGGCCCTTAGCCATCTCACTGCTTTTATCTCTTGTAGTTCCTGTATCTTCCACTAAAGGCCCTTAGCCATCTGACAGCTGTTATCTCTTGTAGTTCCCATTCAGATAGAGGCTCTCAACCTATCTCATGCATGTTGCTGATACTTGTTCTAGCCCTGGTAGTGCCTGGCGTGTCTGTCTTATCTGTGCCTGAATTCTCCCAGGGTAAAAGGCCCTAATATACCTGAACTCTCCCAGGGTTTAAGGCCTCCCTCTACCTGAACTCTCCCAGGATTTAAGGCCTCCTATTACCTGAACTCTTCCATGGTTTAAGGCCTCCCTCTACCTGAACTCTCCCAGGATTTAAGGCCTCCCTCTACCTGAACTCTTCCAGGGTTTAAGGCCTCTCTCTACCTGAACTCTCCCAGGATTTAAGGCCTCCCTCTACCTGAACTCTTCCAGGGTTTAAGGCCTCCCTCTACCTGAACTCTTCCAGGGTTTAAGGCCTCCCTCTACCTGAACTCTCCCAGGATTTAAGGCCTCCCTCTACCTGAACTCTTCCAGGGTTTAAGGCCTCCCTCTACCTGAACTCTCCCAGGGTTTAAGGCCTCCCTTTACCTGAACTCTTCCAGGGTTTAAGGCCTCCTTCTACCTGAACTCTTCCAGGGTTTAAGGCCTCTCTCTACCTGAACTCTTCCAGGGTTTAAGGCCTCCCTCTACCTGAACTCTCCCAGGGTTTAAGGCCTCCCTCTACCTGAACTCTTCCAGGGTTTAAGGCCTCCCTCTACCTGAACTCTTTCAGGGTTTAAGGCCTCCCTCTACCTGAACTCTCCCAGGGTTTAAGGCCTCCCTCTACCTGAACTCTCCCAGGGTTTAAGGCCTCCCTTTACCTGAACTCTCCCATCGTTTAAGGCCTCCCTGTACCTGAACTCTCCCAGGGTTTAAGGCCTCCCTGTACCTGAACTCTCCCAGGGTTTAAGGCCTCCCTGTAACTTGAGTCTGAACTCTCTTCAACACGTTATCACCGGACCTGAGTTGCACACTGTAAGATAGTTAATGTCCCCTGTTCTTTCACCCCCCACAGATGGACATGTGTGTGTAAGATAGTTAATGTCCCCTGTTCTTTCACCCCCCACAGATAGACATGTGTGTGTAAGATAGTTAATGTCCCCTGTTTTTTCACCCCCTACAGATAGACATGTGTGTGTAAGATAGTTAATGTCCCCTGTTCTTACCCTCCCCCCCCCCCCACAGATGGACATGTGTGTGTAAGATAGTTAATGTCCCCTGTTCTTTCACCACACTTCCCCCCCCCCCTACAGATGGACATGTGTTTGTAAGATACCTAATGTCTCCTGTTCTTTCACCCCCCACAGATGGACATCTTTGATGCTGCCCAGCTATATAAAAATGACCAGCGCCCACTGGTGATCCTAGCTGGCAAGGAGTATGGCTCAGGCTCTTCTCGTGACTGGGCAGCCAAGGGCCCCTGGATGTTGGTCAGTTAAACCGATTTGTGCCATCTTTCCTGCTTGAATTTGTCTTGACCGCTTGGTTACGTTCTAAACTTTATTTGGTCATCTGTCCTTTTCACCGTCTGTCCATCATTTTCATTCGCCTCCCTATCTATCTCTCCCTCTTCCATCTTTCTGTCTGTTCATCATTTTACATGGTTCATCTCCCCATCTATCTCTCCCTCTTCCATCTTTCTGTCTGTTCATCATTTTACATGGTTCGTCTCCCTATCTATCTCTCCCTCTTCCATCTTTCTGTCTGTTCATAATTTTACATGGTTCGTCTCCCCATCTATCTCTCCCTCTTCCATCTTTCTGTCTGTTCATCATTTTACATGGTTCGTCTCCCCATCTATCTCTCCCTCTTCCATCTTTCTGTCTGTTCATCATTTTACATGGTTCGTCTCCCCATCTATCTCTCCCTCTTCCATCTTTCTGTCTGTTCATCATTTTACATGGTTCGTCTCCCCATCTATCTCTCCCTCTTCCATCTTTCTGTCTGTTCATCATTTTACATGGTTCGTCTCCCCATCTATCTCTCCCTCTTCCATCTTTCTGTCTGTTCATCATTTTACATGGTTCGTCTTCCCATCTATCTCTCCCTCTTCCATCTTTCTGTCTTTTCCTCTTTTTACATGGTTCGTCTCCCCATCTATCTCTCCCTCTTCCATCTTTCTGTCTGTTCATCATTTTACATGGTTCGTCTCCCCATCTATCTCTCCCTCTTCCATCTTTCTGTCTGTTCATAATTTTACATGGTTCGTCTCCCCATCTATCTCTCCCTCTTCCATCTTTCTGTCTGTTCATCATTTTACATGGTTCGTCTCCCCATCTATCTCTCCCTCTTCCATCTTTCTGTCTGTTCATAATTTTACATGGTTCGTCTCCCCATCTATCTCTCCCTCTTCCATCTTTCTGTCTGTTCATCTTTTTACATGGTTCGTCTCCCCATCTATCTCTCCCTCTTCCATCTTTCTGTCTGTTCATCATTTTACATGGTTCGTCTCCCCATCTATCTCTCCCTCTTCCATCTTTCTGTCTGTTCATCATTTTACATGGTTCGTCTCCCCATCTATCTCTCCCTCTTCCATCTTTCTGTCTGTTTATCATTTTACATGGTTCGTCTCCCCATCTATCTCTCCCTCTTCCATCTTTCTGTCTGTGCATTTGACCATCCACCTCTTTATCTGCATATTAGTATCCACATGTGTCCATCCATCTTCACATCTCTCCATCCATCTCTACATCTCTCCATCCATCTTCACATCTCTCCATCCATCTCTACATCTCTCCATCCATCTTCACATCTCTCCATCCATCTCTACATCTCTCCATCCATCTCCACATCTCTCCATCCATCTCTACATCTCTCCATCCATCTTTACATCTCTCCATCCATTTCTACATTTCTCCATCCATCTCCACATCTCTCCATCCATCTCTACATCTCTCCATCCATCTTCACATCTCTCCATCCATCTTCACATCTCTCCATCCATCTCTACATCTCTCCATCCATCTCCACATCTCTCCATCCATCTCCACATCTCTCCATCCATCTCCACATCTCTCCATCCATCTCTACATCTCTCCATCCATCTTCACATCTCTCCATCCATCTTCACATCTCTCCATCCATCTCTACATCTCTCCATCCATCTCTACATCTCTCCATCCATCTCTACATCTCTCCATCCATCTCTACATCTCTCCATCCATCTCCACATCTCTCCATCCATCTCCACATCTCTCCATCCATCTTCACATCTCTCTATCCATCTTCACATCTCTCCATCCATCTCTACATCTCTCCATCCATCTCCACATCTCTTCATCCATCTCCACATCTCTCCATCCATCTCCACATCTCTCCATCCATCTCCACATCTCTCCATCCATCTCTACATCTCTCCATCCATCTTCACATCTCTCCATCCATCTTCACATCTCTCCATCCATCTCTACATCTCTCCATCCATCTCTACATCTCTCCATCCATCTTGAAATGTCTCCATCCATCTCCACATCTCTCCATCCATCTCCACATCTCTCCATCCATCTTCACATCTCTCCATCCATCTTCACATCTCTCCATCCATCTCTACATCTCTCCATCCATCTCTACATCTCTCCATCCATCTCTACATCTCTCCATCCATCTTGAAATGTCTCCATCCATCTCCACATCTCTCCATCCATCTCCACATCTCTCCATCCATCTTCACATCTCTCTATCCATCTTCACATCTCTCCATCCATCTTCACATCTCTCCATCCATCTTGAAATGTCTCCATCCATCTCTACATCTCTCCATCCATCTCTACATCTCTCCATCCATCTTCACATCTCTCCATCCATCTTGAAATGTCTCCATCCATCCATCTCTACATCTCTCCATCCATCTTTAAATCTCTTCATACATCTCTCCATCCATTTCTACATCCATCTTTAAATGTCTCCATCAATCTCTACATCTCTGTGTGCAACTCTACATCTGTATTTACAGGTGTCTGTGCTCAGTTGTGTGTGCAGTAGTGACCTGTAGTTGTGTGTGCAGTAGTGACCTGTAGTTGTGTGTGCAGAAGTGACCTGTAGTTGTGTGTGCAGAAGTGACCTGTAGTTGTGTATGCAGTAGTGACCTGTAGTTGTGTGTGCAGTAGTGACCTGTAGTTGTGTGTGCAGAAGTGACCTGTAGTTGTGTGTGCAGAAGTGACCTGTAGTTGTGTATGCAGTAGTGACCTGTAGTTGTGTATGCAGTAGTGACCTGTAGTTGTGTGTGCAGTAGTGACCTGTAGTTGTGTGTGCAGTAGTGACCTGTAGTTGTGTGTGCAGTAGTGACCTGTAGTTGTGTGTGCAGAAGTGACCTGTAGTTGTGTGTGCAGAAGTGACCTGTAGTTGTGTATGCAGTAGTGACCTGTAGTTGTGTATGCAGTAGTGACCTGTAGTTGTGTGTGCAGTAGTGACCTGTAGTTGTGTGTGCAGTAGTGACCTGTAGTTGTGTATGCAGTAGTGACCTGTAGTTGTGTGTCAGTAGTGACCTGTAGTTGTGTGTGCAGTAGTGACCTGTAGTTGTGTATGCAGTAGTGACCTGTAGTTGTGTGTCAGTAGTGACCTGTAGTTGTGTGTGCAGAAGTGCCCTGTAGTTGTGTATGCAGTAGTGACCTGTAGTTGTGTGTGCAGTAGTGACCTGTAGTTGTGTGTGCAGTAGTGACCTGTAGTTGTGTATGCAGTAGTGACCTGTAGTTGTGTGTGTAGTAGTGACCTGTAGTTGTGTGTGCAGTAGTGACCTGTAGTTGTGTATGCAGTAGTGACCTGTAGTTGTGTATGCAGTAGTGACCTGTAGTTGTGTGTGCAGAAGTGACCTGTAGTTGTGTGTGCAGTAGTGACCTGTAGTTGTGTATGCAGTAGTGACCTGTAGTTGTGTGTGCAGAAGTGACCTGTAGTTGTGTATGCAGTAGTGACCTGTAGTTGTGTGTGCAGTAGTGACCTGTAGTTGTGTGTGCAGAAGTGACCTGTAGTTGTGTGTGTGCAGAAGTGACCTGTAGTTGTGTGTGTGCAGTAGTGACCTGTAGTTGTGTGTGTGCGTGTGTTTTTAGCATCATTGACCTGGGTTTTTGTACTCCTGCACTAGGGTGTCCGTGCTGTAATTGCTGAAAGTTTTGAGCGAATCCATCGCAGCAACCTGGTGGGCATGGGTTTGATACCCCTGCAGTTCCTGGAGGGACAGAATGCGGAAAGTCTGGGTCTGACAGGACAAGAAAGTTTCACCATTGTCCTCCCTGATGACCTGCAGCCAGGCCAGCTGGTCACCGTTGAGGTAATGCCTCTTTTTTAGATCGCTTATTGTAGAAATCGTTTTTGCTGAACTGTGTATTACCTGGTTTCTTTCTTTTAGTTTACCTGAACTGTGTATTACCTGGTTTCTTTCTTTTAGTTTACCTGAACTGTGTATTACCTGGTCTCTCTCCTTTAGTTTACCTGAGCCGTGTATTACCTGGTCTCTTTCCTTTAGTTTACCTGAGCTGTGTATTACCTGGTCTCTCTCCTTTAGTTTACCTGAGCCGTGTATTACCTGGTCTCTCTCCTTTAGTTTACCTGAGCTGTGTATTACCTGGTCTCTTTCCTTTAGTTTACCTGAGCTGTGTATTACCTGGTCTCTCTCCTTTAGTTTACCTGAGCTGTGTATTACCTGTTCTCTCTCCTTTACTTTTCCTAAGTTGTGTATTACCTGGTCTCTTTCCTTTACTTTTCCTAAGTTGTGTATTACCTTGTCTTTTCCCTTTAGTTTACCTGTGCTGTCTATTACCTGGTCTTTTTCCTTTAGTTTACCTTAGCTGTGTATTACCTGGTCTCTTTCCTTTAGTTTACCTGAGTTGTGTATTACCTGGTCTCTTTCCTTTACTTTTCCTAAGTTGTGTAATACCTGGTCTTTTTCCTTTAGTTTACCTGAGCTGTGTATTACCTGGTCTCTTTCCTTTAGTTTACCTGAGCTGTGTATTACCTGGTCTCTTTCCTTTAGTTTACCTGAGCTGTGTATTATCTGGTCTCTTTCCTTTAGTTTACCTGAGCTGTGTATTACCTGGTCTCTCTCCTTTAGTTTACCTGAGCTGTGTATTACCTGGTCTCTTTCCTTTAGTTTACCTGAGCTGTGTATTACCTGGTCTCTTTCCTTTAGTTTACCTGAGCTGTGTATTACCTGGTCTCTTTCCTTTAGTTTACCTGAGATGTGTATTACCTGTCTCTTTCCTTTAGTTTACCTAAGCTGTGTATTACCTGGTCTCTCTCCTTTAGTTTACCTGAGCTGTGTATTACCTGGTCTCTCTGCTTTAGTTTACCTGAGCTGTGTATTACCTGGTCTCTTTCCTTTAGTTTACCTGAGATGTGTATTACCTGTCTCTTTCCTTTAGTTTACCTAAGCTGTGTATTACCTGGTCTCTTTCCTTTAGTTTACTGAGCTTGTGTATTACCTGGTCTTTAGTTTACCTGAGCTGTGTATTACCTGGTCTCTTTCCTTTAGTTTACCTGAGCTGTGTATTACCTGGTCTCTTTCCTTTATTTTCCTTTAGTTTACCTGAGCTGTGTATTACCTGGTCTCTTTCCTGTTTACCTGAGCTGTGTATTACCTGGTCTCTTTCCTTTAGTTTACCTGAGCTGTGTATTACCTGGTGTCTTAGTTTACCTGAGCTGTGTATTACCTAGTCTCTCTCCTTTAGTTTACCTGAGCTGTGTATTACCTGGTCTCTTTCCTTTAGTTTTACTCCTTTAGTTTACCTGAGCTGTGTATTACCTGGTCTCTCTCTCCTTTAGTTACCTGAGCTGTGTATTACCTGGTCTCTCTCTCCTTTAGTTTACCTGAGCTGTGTATTACCTGGTCTCTTTCCTTTAGTTTACCTGAGCTGTGTATTACCTGGTCTCTTTCCTTTAGTTTACCTGAGCTGTGTATTACCTAGTCTCTCTCCTTTAGTTTACCTGAGCTGTGTATTTACCTGGTCTGTGTCCCTATCTCTCTCTCCTTTAGTTTACCTAAGTTGTGTATTACCTGGTCTCTCTCCTTTAGTTTACCTGAGCTGTGTATTACCTGGTCTCTCTCCTTTAGTTTACCTGAGCTGTGTATTACCTAGTCTCTCTCCTTTAGTTTACCTGAGCTGTGTATTACCTGGTCTCTTTCCTTTACTTACCTGTGCTGTGTATTACCTGGTCTCTTTCCTTTAGTTTACCTGAGCTTTGTATTACCTGGTCTCTTTGCTTTAGTTTACCTGAGCTGTGTATTACCTGGTCTCTTTCCTATAGTTTACCTGAGCTGTGTATTACCTGGTCTCTCTCCTTTAGATTACCTGAGCTGTGTATTACCTGGTCTCTCTGCTTTAGGTTACCTGAGTTGTGTATTACCTGGTCTCTTTCCTTTAGTTTACCTGAGCTGTGTATTATCTGGTCTCTTTCCTTTAGTTTACCTGAGCTGTGTATTACCTGGTCTCTTTCCTTTAGTTTACCTGAGCTGTGTATTACCTGGTCTCTTTCCTTTAGTTTACCTGAGCTGTGTATTACCTGGTCTCTTTCCTTTAGTTTACCTGAGCTGTGTATTACCTGGTCTCTTTCCTTTTAGTTTACCTAAGCTGTGTATTACCTGGTCTCTCTCCTTTAGTTTACCTGAGCTGTGTATTACCTGGTCTGGTCTCTCCAGGTCTCTCTCCTTTAGTTTACCTAAGCTGTGTATTACCTGGTCTCTTTCTTTAGTTTACCTGAGCTGTGTATTACCTGGTCTCTTTCCTTAGTTTACCTGAGCTGTGTATTAACCTTACCTGGTCTCTCTCTCCTTTACTTTACCTAAGCTGTGTATTACCAGGTCTCTTTTCTTTAGTTTACCTAAGCTATGTATTACCTGGTCTCTCTCCTATAGTTTACCTTTAGTTTACCTGAGCTGTGTATTACCTGGTCTCTCTCCTTTAGTTTACCTGAGCTGTGTATTACCTGGTCTCTTTCCTTTAGTTTACCTGAACTGTGTATTACCTGGTCTCTTTCCTTTAGTTTACCTGAGCTGTGTATTACCTAGGTCTCTCTCCTTTAGTTTACCTGAGCTGTGTATTACCTGGTCTCTGCGTCCTTTAGTTTACCTGTGTATTACCTGTCTCTTACCTGAGCTGTGTATTACCTGGTCTCTTTCCTTTAGTTTACCTAAGCTGTGTATTACCTGGTCTCTCTCCTTTAGTTTACCTGAGCTGTGTATTACCTGGTCTCTCTCCTTTAGTTTACCTAAGCTGTGTATTACCTAGTCTCTCTCCTTTAGTTTACCTGAGCTGTGTATTACCTGGTCTCTCTCTTTTAGTTTACCTGAGCTGTGAATTACCTGGTCTCTCTCCTTTAGTTTACCTGAGCTGTATTACCTAGTCTCTCTCCTTTAGTTTACCTGAGCTGTGTATTACCTGTCTCTTTCCTATTACTTTACCTAAGCTGTGTATTACCTGGTCTCTTCCTTCCTTTAGTTTACCTAAGCTGTGTATTACCTAGTCTCTCTCCTTTAGTTACCTGAGCTGTGTATTACCTGGTCTCTCTCCTTTAGTTTACCTGAGCTGTGTATTACCTGGTCTCTCTCCTTTAGTTTACCTGAGCTGTGTATTACCTGGTCTCTCTCCTTTAGTTTACCTGAGCTGTGTATTACCTGGTCTCTCTCCTTTAGTTTACCTGAGCTGTGTATTACCTGGTCTCTCTCCTTTAGTTTACCTGAGCTGTGTATTACCTGGTCTCTCTCCTTTAGTTTACCTGAGCTGTGTATTACCTGGTCTCTCTCCTTCCTTTATTACCTGTTTCTCCTTTAGTTTACCTGAGCTGTGTATTACCTGGTCTCTCTCCTTTAGTTTACCTGAGCTGTGTATTACCTGGTCTCTCTCCTTTAGTTTACCTGAGCTGTGTATTACCTGGTCTCTCTCCTTTAGTTTACCTGAGCTGTGTATTACCTAGTCTCTCTCCTTTAGTTTACCTGAGCTGTGTATTACCTGGTCTCTTTCCTTTAGTTTACCTGAGCTGTGTATTACCTGGTCTCTCTCCTTTAGTTTACCTGAGCTGTGTATTACCTGGTCTCTTTCCTTTAGTTTACCTGAGCTGTGTATTACCTGGTCTCTCTCCTTTAGTTTACCTGAGCTGTGTATTACCTGGTCTCTTTCCTTTAGTTTACCTGAGCTGTGTATTACCTGGTCTCTTTCCTTTAGTTTACCTGAGCTGTGTATTACCTGGTCTCTTTCCTTTAGTTTACCTGAGCTGTGTATTACCTGGTCTCTTTCCTTTAGTTTACCTGAGCTGTGTATTACCTGGTCTCTTTCCTTTAGTTTACCTGAGCTGTGTATTACCTGGTCTCTCTCCTTTAGTTTACCTGAGCTTTGTATTACCTGGTCTCTTTGCTTTAGTTTACCTGAGCTGTGTATTACCTGGTCTCTTTCCTATAGTTTACCTGAGCTGTGTATTACCTGGTCTCTCTCCTTTAGATTACCTGAGCTGTGTATTACCTGGTCTCTCTGCTTTAGTTTACCTGAGCTGTGTATTACTGGTTCTTTCCTTAGTTTACCTGAGCTGTGTATTACCTGGTCTCTTTCCTGAGCTGTGTATTACCTGGTTCTTTCCTTTAGTTTACCTGAGCTGTGTATTACCTGGTCTCTTTCCTTTAGTTTACCTGAGCTGGTGTTACCTGAGCTGTGTATTACCTGGTCTCTTTCCTTTAGTTTACCTGAGCTGTGTATTACCTGGTCTCTTTCCTTTAGTTTACCTGAGCTGTGTATTACCTGGTCTCTCTCCTTTAGTTTACCTGAGCTGTGTATTACCTGGTCTCTTTCCTTTAGTTTACCTAAGCTGTGTATTACCTGGTCTCTTTCCTTTAGTTTACCTGAGCTGTGTATTACCTGGTCTCTTTCCTTTAGTTTACCTAAACCGTGTATTACCAGGTCTCTCTCCTTTAGTTTACCTGAGCTGTGTATTACCTGGTCTCTCTCCTTTAGTTTACCTGAGCTGTGTATTACCTGGTCTCTTTCCTTTAGTTTACCTGAGCTGTGTATTACCTGTCTCTCTCCTTTAGCCTGTGTATAAGCTATGTATTACCTGGTCTCTTTCCTTTAGTTTACCTGAGCTGTGTATTACCTGAGCTGTGTATTTACCTGGTCTCTCTGCTTTAGGTTACCTGAGTTGTGTATTACCTGGTCTCTTTCCTTTAGTTTACCTGAACTGTGTATTACCTGGTCTCTTTCCTTTAGTTTACCTGAGCTGTGTATTACCTAGTCTCTCTCCTTTAGTTTACCTGAGCTGTGTATTACCTGGTCTCATTCCTATAGTTTACCTGAGCTGCGTATTGCTTGGTCTTTTTCCTTTAGTTTACCTGAGCTGTGTATTACCTGGTCTCTCACCTTTAGTTTACCTGAGCTGTGTATTACCTGGTCTCTTTCCTTTAGTTTACCTAAGCTGTGTATTACCTAGTCTCTCTCCTTTAGTTTACCTGAGCTGTGTATTACCTAGTCTCTCTCCTTTAGTTTACCTAAGCTGTGTATTACCTAGTCTCTCTCCTTTAGTTTACCTGAGCTGTGTATTACCTGGTCTCTCTCCTTTAGTTTACCTGAGTTGTGAATTACCTGGTCTCTCTCCTTTAGTTTACCTGAGCTGTGTATTACCTAGTCTCTCTCCTTTAGTTTACCTGAGCTGTGTATTACCTAGTCTCTTTCCTATACTTTTCCTAAGCTGTGTATTACCTGGTCTCTTTCCTTTAGTTTACCTAAGCTGTGTATTACCTAGTCTCTCTCCTTTAGTTTACCTGAGCTGTGTATTACCTGGTCTCTCTCCTTTAGTTGACCTGAGTTGTGAATTACCTGGTCTCTCTCCTTTAGTTTACCTGAGCTGTGTATTACCTAGTCTCTCTCCTTTAGTTTACCTGAGCCGTGTATTACCTGGTCTCTTTCCTTTAGTTTACCTGAGCTGTGTATTACCTGGTCTCTCTCCTTTAGTTTACCTGAGCTGTGTATTACCTAGTCTCTCTCCTTTAGTTTACCTGAGCTGTGTATTACCTGGTCTCTCTCCTTTACTTTACCTAAGTTGTGTATTACCTGGTCTCTCTCCTTTAGTTTACCTGAGCTGTGTATTACCTGGTCTCTCTCCTTTAGTTTACCTGAGCTGTGTATTACCTAGTCTCTCTCCTTTAGTTTACCTGAGCTGTGTATTACCTGGTCTTTTTCCTTTACTTTACCTGTGCTGTGTATTACCTGGTCTCTCTCCTTTAGTTTACCTGAGCTGTGTATTACCTGGTCTTTTTCCTTTACTTTACCTGTGCTGTGTATTACCTGGTCTCTCTCCTTTAGTTTACCTGAGCTGTGTATTACCTGGTCTCTTTCCTTTAGTTTACCTGAGCTGTGTATTACCTGGTCTCTTTCTTTTAGTTTACCTGAGCTGTGTATTATCTGGTCTCTTTCCTTTAGTTTACCTGAGCTGTGTATTACCTGGTCTCTTTCCTTTAGTTTACCTGAGCTGTGTATTACCTGGTCTCTTTCCTTTAGTTTACCTGAGCCGTGTATTACCTGGTCTCTCTCCTTTAGTTTACCTGAGCTGTGTATTACCTGGTCTCTTTTCTTTAGTTTACCTAAGCTATGTATTACCTGGTCTCTTTCCTTTAGTTTACCTGAGCTGTGTATTACCTGGTCTCTTTCCTTTAGTTTACCTAAACCGTGTATTACCAGGTCTCTCTCCTTTACTTTACCTAAGCTGTGTATTACCTGGTCTCTTTCCTTTAGTTTACCTGAGCTGTGTATTACCTGGTCTCTTTCCTTTAGTTTACCTGAGCCGTGTATTACCAGGTCTCTCTCCTTTACTTTACCTAAGCTGTGTATTACCAGGTCTCTTTTCTTTAGTTTACCTAAGCTATGTATTACCTGGTCTCTTTCCTATAGTTTACCTGAGCTGTGTATTACCTGAGCTGTGTATTACCTGGTCTCTCTGCTTTAGGTTACCTGAGTTGTGTATTACCTGGTCTCTTTCCTTTAGTTTACCTGAACTGTGTATTACCTGGTCTCTTTCCTTTAGTTTACCTGAGCTGTGTATTACCTAGTCTCTCTCCTTTAGTTTACCTGAGCTGTGTATTACCTGGTCTCATTCCTATAGTTTACCTGAGCTGCCTATTGCTTGGTCTTTTTCCTTTAGTTTACCTGAGCTGTGTATTACCTGGTCTCTCTCCTTTAGTTTACCTGAGCTGTGTATTACCTAGTCTCTTTCCTATACTTTTCCTAAGCTGTGTATTACCTGGTCTCTTTCCTTTAGTTTACCTAAGCTGTGTATTACCTAGTCTCTCTCCTTTAGTTTACCTGAGCTGTGTATTACCTGGTCTCTCTCCTTTAGTTGACCTGAGTTGTGAATTACCTGGTCTCTCTCCTTTAGTTTACCTGAGCTGTGTATTACCTAGTCTCTCTCCTTTAGTTTACCTGAGCCGTGTATTACCTGGTCTCTTTCCTTTAGTTTACCTGAGCTGTGTATTACCTGGTCTCTCTCCTTTAGTTTACCTGAGCTGTGTATTACCTAGTCTCTCTCCTTTAGTTTACCTAAGCTGTGTATTACCTGGTCTCTCTCCTTTACTTTACCTAAGTTGTGTATTACCTGGTCTCTCTCCTTTAGTTTACCTGAGCTGTGTATTACCTGGTCTCTCTCCTTTAGTTTACCTGAGCTGTGTATTACCTAGTCTCTCTCCTTTAGTTTACCTGAGCTGTGTATTACCTGGTCTTTTTCCTTTACTTTACCTGTGCTGTGTATTACCTGGTCTCTCTCCTTTAGTTTACCTGAGCTGTGTATTACCTGGTCTTTTTCCTTTACTTTACCTGTGCTGTGTATTACCTGGTCTCTCTCCTTTAGTTTACCTGAGCTGTGTATTACCTGGTCTCTTTCCTTTAGTTTACCTGAGCTGTGTATTACCTGGTCTCTTTCTTTTAGTTTACCTGAGCTGTGTATTATCTGGTCTCTTTCCTTTAGTTTACCTGAGCTGTGTATTACCTGGTCTCTTTCCTTTAGTTTACCTGAGCTGTGTATTACCTGGTCTCTTTCCTTTAGTTTACCTGAGCCGTGTATTACCTGGTCTCTCTCCTTTAGTTTACCTGAGCTGTGTATTACCTGGTCTCTTTTCTTTAGTTTACCTAAGCTATGTATTACCTGGTCTCTTTCCTTTAGTTTACCTGAGCTGTGTATTACCTGGTCTCTTTCCTTTAGTTTACCTGAGCCGTGTATTACCAGGTCTCTCTCCTTTACTTTACCTAAGCTGTGTATTACCAGGTCTCTTTTCTTTAGTTTACCTAAGCTATGTATTACCTGGTCTCTTTCCTTTAGTTTACCTGAGCTGTGTATTACCTGGTCTCTTTCCTTTAGTTTACCTAAACCGTGTATTACCAGGTCTCTCTCCTTTACTTTACCTAAGCTGTGTATTACCTGGTCTCTTTCCTTTAGTTTACCTGAGCTGTGTATTACCTGGTCTCTTTTAGATTACCTGAGCTGTCCTGCTATAATATTTGACAAGTTGACATTTTTACCACAGCTGGACAATGGGCTGAATTTTCAAGCCAAACTGCGCTTTGACACAGAGGTGGATCTCACCTACTTTAGACATGGAGGCATCTTGAACTACATGGTCCGGAGAACTCTAGGAGTCTGCTAATCTTGTGTCATTTGTTTGTTTGTTAGCTTGTCTGTGTGTGTCCATGCACCAGTGTAACCCAGCCCTAGACAATCAGCTTAACAAAGACTGTCTTCTAGCATTGTTCTTTGTTGTATCAGCTGGGAGATGTGTGGGATACTGTCTTCTAGCATTGTTCTTTGTTGTATCAGCTGGGAGATGTGTGGGATACTTTTAGTATTGTTCTTTGTTGTATCAGTTGGGAGATGTGTGGGATACTGTCTTTTAGTATTGTTCTTTGTTGTATCAGCTGGGAGATGTGTGGGATACTGTCTTTTAGTATTGTTCTTTGTTGTATCAGCTGGGAGATGTGTGGGATACTGTCTTTTAGCATTGTTCTTTGTTGTATCAGCTGGGAGATGTGTGGGATACTGTCTTTTAGTATTGTTCTTTGTTGTATCAGCTGGGAGATGTGTGGGATACTGTCTTCTAGTATTGTTCTTTGTTGTATCAGCTGGGAGATGTGGAATACTGTCTTTTAGTATTGTTCTTTGTTAAATCAGCTGGGAGATGTGTGGGATACTGTCTTTTAGTATTGTTCTTTGTTAAATCAGCTGGGAGATGTGTGGGATACTGTCTTTTAGCATTGTTCTTTGTTAAATCAGCTGGGAGATGTGTGGGATACTGTCTTCTAGTATTGTTCTTTGTTGTATCAGCTGGGAGATGTGGGATACTGTCTTTTAGTATTGTTCTTTGTTAAATCAGCTGGGAGATGTGTGGGATACTGTCTTTTAGCATTGTTCTTTGTTAAATCAGCTGGGAGATGTGTGGGATACTGTCTTTTAGTATTGTTCTTTGTTAAATCAGCTGGGAGATGTGTGGGATACTGTCTTTTAGTATTGTTCTTTGTTAAATCAGCTGGGAGATGTGTGGGATACTGTCTTTTAGCATTGTTCTTTGTTGTATCAGCTGGGAGATGTGTGGGATACTGTCTTTTAGTATTGTTCTTTGTTGTATCAGCTGGGAGATGTGGGATACTGTCCTCTAGTATTGTCCTTTGTTGTATCAGCTGGGAGATGTGTGGGATACTTTCTTTTAGTATTGTTCTTTGTTGTATCAGCTGGGAGATGTGGGATACTGTCTTCTAGCATTGTTCTTTGTTGTCACAGAGATGAATGTCAAACACTGAGACTGTGCTGGACTGGAGAATATTTGGTGTTGACTTGTAGCCCACTAGAGATGGAGTTGTAGTTTTTGAGACTTATAACCTGCTGTGACGGTGTCCAGTCATTGACACGCATCAGACTGACCAGTCATTGACACACATCAGACTGTGTCCAGTCATTGACACTCATCAGGCTGTGACCAGTCATTGACACGCATCAGACTGTGACCAGACATTTACACGCATCAGGCTGTGACTAGTCATTGACACACATCAGACTGTGACCAGACATTTACACGCATCAGGCTGTGACTAGTCATTGACATGCATCAGACTGTGTCCAGTCATTGACACGCATCAGGCTGTGTCCAGTCATTGACATGCATCAGACTGTGTCCAGTGAAAGGTGTTGTGTGGGGAGGGGGGGGGGGGTTGAGATGGACACACACACACACAAATCTAGGATAACCCAGTTTTCATGGCTGTTGATGCTTATCTTTGGTGTTCTTAGACAGGAACATCCAGACTTGCTAGCTGTATGTCCAGACTTGCTAGCTGTATGTCCAGACTTGACTTGCTAGCTGTATGTCCAGACTTGCTAGCTGTATGTCCAGACTTGACTTGCTAGCTGTATGTCCAGACTTGCTAGCTGTATGTCCAGACTTGCTAGCTGTATGTCCAGACTTGCTAGCTGTATGTCCAGACTTGCTAGCTGTATGTCCAGACTTGCTAGCTGTATGTCCAGACTTGCTAGCTGTATGTCCAGACTTGCTAGCTGTATGTCCAGACTTGCTAGCTGTATGTCCAGACTTGACTTGCTAGCTGTATGTCCAGACTTGACTTGCTAGCTGTATGTCCAGACTTGCTAGCTGTATGTCCAGACTTGCTAGCTGTATGTCCAGACTTGCTAGCTGTATGTCCAGACTTGCTAGCTGTATGTCCAGACTTGCTAGCTGTATGTCCAGACTTGCTAGCTGTATGTCCAGACTTGACTTGCTAGCTGTATGTCCAGACTTGACTTGCTAGCTGTATGTCCAGACTTGACTTGCTAGCTGTATGTCCAGACTTGACTTGCTAGCTGTATGTCCAGACTTGACTTGCTAGCTGTATGTCCAGACTTGCTAGCTGTATGTCCAGACTTCAAGTCATACTTTCACTATTTCTGGTTCTTTTATCTTGTCATTGTGTGAATATTTGTTTCAATTATGGGATATATCCTGTTGTTATGTTAAATAAATATATGGCTTATCTAATGGTATATGGCCTTGCTGTCAAACACCTGCCTTCTCTGTGGCTTGTTTTCTCTTTCTGTTATCTTGTCTACCCTCTGGCTATCATTTGTTTCCTTCTGTTATCTTGTCTACCCTCTGGCTATCATTTTTTCTCCTTCTGTTTCTCTTCCTTCTCCTTATTATTCTGTGTCTCATTTAGCTAATGTTCTATCTCATCTCTTGTCATCATTTGTCTCATCTTTTGTTACTTTTTATGATCTTGCTATAATTGTCTTTCCTTCTATTGTCTGTCATCTTGATATAATTGTCTTTCCTTCTATTGTCTGTCATCTTGCTATAATTGTCTTTCCTACTATTGTCTGTCATCTTGATATAATTGTCTTTCCTTCTATTGTCTGTCATCTTGATATAATTGTCTTTCCTACTATTGTCTGTCATCTTGATATAATTGTCTTTCCTTCTATTGTCTGTCATCTTGATATAATTGTCTTTCCTTCTATTGTTTGTCATCTTGCTATAGTTGTCTCCCCTGTAATTTTCTGTCATCTTGCTATGGTTGTCTTCTTTACCATTGTTTGTCACCTTGTTGCCTTTATATTCCATATCATTGTCTGTCATCTTGCTATAGTTGTCTCCCTTATCATTGTCTGTCATCTTGCTATAGGTGTCCCTCCTACCATTGTCTGTCATCTTTGTATAATTGTTTTCCCTACCATTGTCAAGTCATCTTCCTAAAAGTCTCCCCTATCATTGTCTGTCATTTTGCTATAGTTCACTCCTCTGCTGTTCTCTGACATCTTACTATAGTTGGCTTCCCTATAATTGTGTCATTCTGCTGTAATTCTCTTCCCTACTATTTCTGTCATCTTTGGTATATTTATCTTTCATATCATTGTTTGTCATCTTGCTGTAGTTGACTCCCCTACTGTTCTCTGACTTCTTGCTATAGTTGTCTCCCCTACTGTTCTCTCATATCTTGCTATAGCTGTTTCCCCTACTGTTCTCTCATATCTTGCTATAGCTGTTTCCCCTACTGTTCTCTGACATCTTGCTGTAGTTGTCTCCCCTACTGTTCTCTCATATCTTGCTGTAGTTGTCTCCCCTACTGTTCTCTGACTTCTTGCTATAGCTGTTTCCCCTACTGTTCTCTGACATCTTGCTGTAGATGTCTCCCCTACTGTTCTCTAATATCTTGCTATAGTTGAGTCCCTACTGTTCTCTGGCTTCTTGCTATACCTGTTTCCCTTACTGTTCTCTGACTTCTTGCTATAGTTTTCTCCCCTACTGTTCTCTCACATCTTGCTATAGTTGTCTCCCCTACCATTATCTCACATCTTGCTATAGTTGTCTCCCTTACCATTCTCTCACGTCTGTAAAACTGATGCACACGCAACACTCAGGTTCTGGAGCAGGACTGCAGTCCAGAAGTGGACAAACAACCAGAACTTTATGCCAGAGTGTACAGCTGGTGAACGTGAAGAAGAAGCTATAGTTGTCTCCCTTACCGTTCTCTCACATCTTGCTATAGTTGTCTCCCTTACCGTTCTCTCACATCTTGCTATATTTGTCTCCCCCTACTGTTCTCTTAAATTTTGCTATAATTGCCTCTACTCCTGTTTTTGCTTTCTATATATTTTTCATCTCTGCTGTTTTTTAATTTGCTTCTAAAATATAATACTGGAACAGAATGATTCTGGTTAACCCAGTGTCCATGTTTCATCTGTCACAGACTGTCTAAACAATAACTGTGTGTGTCTGTGACTTCTCCTTATGATAACAGTATGTGCGTGTTTGTCATGTCTTGTAATTTGATTATAAAATATTACTGTATATGTGTAGACCATCATTAAATGAATTTGCCTGGAAAATATAATTGTGTGTCTTTGATTGTCTTGTCTTGTAGACACTTAATAAAACAATAAATAAAAATAAATGTTTTATCTTGTAGACAGTCTGTGAAACATCATTGTGCAAGTATTTGCCTTTTCTTGTAAACACTGTATAAAACATCAATGTTTGATTGTCCTGTAGATGCTCTATCAGAGAAAGAGAGAGTGTATGTGTATGCATGTATATGTTTCTGGATTGGGGTGGTGTCATTTTGTGTCTAGTCTTGTCATCACTATAAAACATCAATGTTTGTCTTGTCGTGTAGACGCTCTATAAAACATTTGTGTTTGTCTTGTAGACGCTCTATAAAATATCATTGTTTGTCTTGTAGACGCTCTATAAAATATCATTGTTTGTCTTGTAGACGCTCTATAAAACATTAGTGTTTGTCTTGTAGATGCTCTATAAAACATCAGTGTTTGTCTTGTAGATGCTCTATAAAACAGTGTTTGTCTTGTAGACGCTCTATAAAACATTAGTGTTTGTCTTGTAGACGCTCTATAAAACATCAGTGTTTGTCTTGTAGACGCTCTATAAAACATCAGTGTTTGTCTTGTAGATGCTCTATAAAACATCAGTGTTTGTCTTGTAGACGCTCTATAAAACATCAGTGTTTGTCTTGTAGATGCTCTATAAAACATCAGTGTTTGTCTTGTAGACGCTCTATAAAACATTAGTGTTTGTCTTGTAGATGCTCTATAAAACAGTGTTTGTCTTGTAGACGCTCTATAAAACAGTGTTTGTCTTGTAGATGC